GTCACGGTCCGCACCGAACCTCCATAGCCCATAGGCGACACTCCTTAGCCAACGCACGCATGAGCACATGCGTGGCCCTACCAACTGTAGAGAGCGTCAAACCCGTGGGTTTTGGCTAGCCCACTGGTTCTACGTTCGATGAAGCTTTAATAGTCTCGGGACTAAAAGCGTTAACATCAGTTAAAAAAAAGAAACTATGGTACAATGTTGTTATTTCAGTTTAAAAGTTCACCGTCTCATCTGGAATATCACCGGTCTCAACGATACTTTTATAATAAAAGTAAAGAAAAACATTCATGTAACAATTTGTTTGCCAGCCATATTACTAAGATTAACATACATATATTTGACATCTGAGCTGTTTAAGGTCGAGTCTCATGAGCGAAGTCGTTCAAGGTTGTGGTCAACAATAACTAAGTATCTGGTTAATCCTATTCGCCATTAATATTAGCAATTATCCGTAGGCCATCTTGAAGTTAACCTATCCTATCACAGTGATCTATGTATTAAGCCAAATATCCTGAAACTTTTCCTAGTGTTTATTTGTTTTCTTTAAATTATATACTAATCCTTCTTTAAAATATAAACTTCTTTGGGCGCGTTTGAAAAAAAAAATTGTGAGAGTCAATTTTTTACCATGCGTGCGCACATCGTCACCTAAACAGTTTTATGATGAAGTTAGTTGCAAAGCAATCAACTTCACCAATGAACCACAACCGATTGCTTTTAACGCATTTTTCACAAACAAAGAACACTGGCATGGGGGATATTAATTAAATTTTTACTCATTTCTCTTTTGACTTCTAGAGACTGTGAACTATCATCACGTCAAGCAAATGTTTTGCATTAATAAGATTTGTTTAAATAAATCATAAATCTATAAAAGCAGATTTTCCACAGTAACATAACGACAAGAAGTTATCGGAAATAGTGTAAGTAAGCATATAAATCGATAAAAACAAGGAGGGCTATAATATTTTACGGATATCACGGCTTTTAGAGCTTTAGGTGGAAAGTTCAAGTTTTATTTGTGGGCGTTGTTACTAACTTAGATGCAGTAATGCTTCACTTCCCAAATTAGATTTATACGTGGTAGGGCCATGCAGCAGCCTCGGCTGTTGCACGAATGGGCAGGCCCGTCCGGGTAACGACCACTGTGAGGTCGTCACAGAATACCAGCGTAAAGTGGAAGTATGACAAATACTTTCGCGTTTCGTCTGGTGAGTGAGGTAGCCGGAGCACAATTTTCAAAAGGTTGTCAACTCATCTGTAACCGTCGGGTATAGCAGATGTCCATGGGCGGCGGTATTTGCCTAACATCAGGCGACCCATCTGCTCATTTGGCAACTTTTCGCATAAAAAAAAAAGATTTGACCGATCGAATCCAAATTGGAATCTAAGGATACGTATACGTTACTGGGAGAAGAAATAGTTTTGAACGGTTATCATCTGGACGATTTTAAAATAGTAAACCAGAATCTATTTTCACACGCATGAGTATTATCACAAAGCCTACGATTTTTTCACTTTAAAGACGAAGAAGAATGTAAACATAATGAAAAGTTCCCAATTACCTATAACCTGAACGTAATGACCTATATCGAACTTAGAGAGCATTGTATAAATCTCTGTTGCATTGTACCCAGACTCTTACTATTTTATCAAGATATGGCAATCTAAGGTCACGGCACGTAGCAATAACGACAAATCGTACTGACCTAAAGAAGAAAATTCGTTTATTACGTTAATAATTAAAAAAATACATTTATTATCCGATATCGGAAGTCATAATAATGTCTGAAATAAAGAAATAGTTTAAACGTGTTAAACTAATTTAATATTTATGTATGATATAAGAAACTAACTAATGACATTGATCATCAGCTTACAACCTTAAACGTTTTGCTCGAATGTTCAAATGTTTACAGAAAGGTTACATTTGCTTCAAGGCTTCACCATTTACCATCAGGCAGGACGGCAGTCAAAAACTGGTCAATTTCGAATAAAAAAAAGTTTGCCTTAGGCTGTATCCACTAGTGAAGGAAATATTAATTTTCGACTTGACGAAATCACCGGTGGAAGCTAATAATTAATTGTAATGTTAATGTTAATAATGAATGTACTTAGTTTAATTTGACCTTACTTTACGAGGGAATGTTGTTAAAAGTTGAATTTAAAGTGCGATCTATGTTCTGAGTTCGATTCTCATACGGGCAAACATTTGTTTTATTCATACTAGCTGTTTCTACTTTGGATGTACTTTGTTTTTGCAATATCTCCCGTGATGTCAACTGTTAGGTGCAGGGAGTGTTTGTAAATATGCGTAGAGGTGAATTCATTAAAAATAAAAACCGTATTCCATACTTGTCCTATAGGAAAATATTAATAATTGATAAGGATGAAAATTATTAATATTTTTGTATTAATCGAGCCGCGATAGCTCAGAGAGCCGTGAGAACTCATTGTTCGGGCGCTCGCCTTTAAATACATTTACTCGAGCAACCTGAGTTTGATCCCCGGTGCCAGCACCAATGAAATTATTAATTTTAAGTGTTGAATTATCACGTGTTCGGCGGTGAAGGGTGAGGGAAGCTGCATATTTTCGAGAAAATAATAAAAAAAAATATTTCGAAAATATGTGATGTCCGCCAATCCACAGTGGGGTCGCGTGGTGGACTGTGCCCTGATACCCTCTTTACAGAAGAGGCCTTTGCCCTGCAGTGGGACATTTATAGGCTGTCACTTTACTCTTTTTAACGATGACAAATTTTTCATGAGCACCATTTAAGTGCCAGTGTTTTTAAAAAAATATATGTACCTAATGCGAATCTATGATGGCCTTATGATCGTTTTTCTGAAACTCTAATAAACTTTTATATGCCTCCGAAAGACGAATTTCAAAAGACGCAACGGATTTCAATGAAAATTATGGAGAACAAAAATTTCAACTAAATCTTTGGTGTCAGCATTTGATTTTTTGGTTTGTTGCAAAAACAGTGTTTTAGTATCTCCATGAAGACGTATGTGAAGGGCGGCTGGCGATTATGGACAGCTGATAAAGTAAAATAAAGTAGCAGCCTATACATGTCCCTATCTATGCATGCGTTTGCATGCATAGATAGGGACATGTATAGGCTGGTATTCATTTTTAAACGCACCCATTACCGCCAGTTTAAGACAAGTTCATATTGACATGCAAAAAATGAGGACTTTACTCTTTAATGACTGCCATTTTTTCAAGTACAAAAATTATGAACATTTTTAATCTCATATAAAAATAATTATGAAAATTAAATAAAAGTTAGGAAATATATTTATGAAAAGGGATATGGAAGGATCCCTATTACCGACCCAATGCATGGGGTATGTTCCTATTACCGTTTTTGTGGCACCTATTACCGACCGCTAAATGAACAGAACAGAGTTAAATAAAAATGCTCGTGTGTTTAATTCATTATATGATCATTGATCCATCACAATACAGGGTGTAATTATCAACACTTAGGTTCACAAATGCTTAAGGGCCTTTATTTAATCAGTCTTAAAAATGTGCTTATTATTAAATTTGTAGAAAAAGTACGAAAAGATTGTCGCCGCTGTGGGAATCGAACCCACGTCTTCGGCATCACGCGGCCTGACGCTCTAGCCACTGAGCTAAACGGCTGATTGCCACACCGACGAAAATCTTAACGCCTTCTTTCTACATTGTAATTTAGCAAGCAAAGCAATTATTTGTCCAATTTTAATACAAGACTTCAAAATACTTTAAAACGGGCGGTAATGGGTACCGATTTAACAGGTCGTTATTAGGTGCGTTCACCTAATTACGATTTTTTTTAATAATGTTTGTATTGCGATAACTCACAGTCGGGGCGCTCTCATTTAATTCAATATACTTGAGGAACCTGAGTTCGATTCCGATGCAAGCACCAATGAAATTGTTAATTTTGCTGACTGATCACGTGCCCAGCGCTGAACGTGAGGAAACCTGCATATTTTCGAAATAAAAACAAAATAATATTTCAAAGATATATAGGTAAATTCCGACAATGTACAGTGGGATCGCGTCATGGACCCTAAAACCCAAAGAAAAATTTAAGACTGTACAAAATCGATTTGAAAATTTATAATTTACTATCTAATAATTATTTCTAATAAAATAAAGCTTAATAATTTCAAATTCACACTTTTATTGTTCCGCTTATTATACTGTTGCTTATGAAATAGACTGAGACATTCATGAGACATAAAATTATTTATTTATTAACATGATCAGAAACTTATAAGTATTTTAAATTATTGAAATGTCATTCAGTTGTATAAATTTTCTATTACTTACTCCGAACTGAAACACATCCTTAGATGGTTTCAGAAAGTATAAGCAGTTACAAAGTCGCCGGATTGACATCAAAACTATTGGATACGTAATAAATGAAACTATTTAGTTACCGACGTTTCGAATATTTCCAGCGGTCTTGGTCACGGTACAGACGGGGGAGTTGGACGTCTAAATGTCATTTAAGGCCCAGGCTAAAACCAGTTTTTAAAATATTAATCTATTTCTGATCTAATTCGAGCCAAACACTACACTAGGTTTAATAGACTACAGATCCTCGCGAAAAAATACACCGTTTCGTACCATACATAAATAATTTCATTTAGATATATTTAATCGCGTAAACACGTGAAATTATATTGTGTACTCCTTTTATAATTCATAACAATTGCAGAGCAGGCCGAAATATACGGCATTGAAAGCGTCACCTTCGGGAAATGGCACGTGCATCTGCACCGCATAATATAGTTCTGTCCGAGTCTGCGCTAATTGATATAAATATGTATAATAATCACGATCCCGTGATTTCGTCGTCATATTGTCAACGAAGGATTTTCAATAACAATCAGTATCACGTCTGTTGACGTTTATCCAACGAAATTATTTCTTAAACGGATTCCCAAACAGCATCGAATAATAATTAGTCAGCCAACAGCCGATTGAAATGTCGAAACCCTGCAAATTTCGTAACCGTAAAAACAAAAACATACCGACGAGTCGAACTGATCCGTACTGCACTCCGGTTAGGTCGACGGCGCAGGTGGGGCGCGTTTCGCGAGCGGTCAACGGAGGCGTGCGCGTATTACGAAACGCTGGTCCGAACTGTGGCCGCGGGCGAGCCGCTTCCGTGGGTATATCGTCGGGAGCCTTTAGGACACGTCACGGACGCACCCGAAAACCGAAACCGAGCGGGCGATCCGCTGGGGACACGCCGCGGCTCGCCGAGAATGACGCACTGCATGTGTCGCAACCGAGGGGGCCGCGTAACCTTTCCACGAGAAGTTCGCAAACGGGCTGGTTGTTTGCTTGTTGAGCGATTATCTCCCCACGGACGTCCACAACGCCCGTGCAGTATCGTCCGGCCCGAAACAGATGTACATATAGATACCTTGACGTGAGAAGCCGTTGCGGTACTTGAATTTGGTGATGCTATCCCATTCACGAAACAGCGGAAGCATATCGCTGTAAAAGCTTTACATTGGTTCCGATTGGAATTTAGTTTTTTAAGGACAAGAGTTTGTGGCAAAGGAACAAGCACTATACGTAGTTTTAAGCTGCCATCGACAACTAGTAACCTTAGAACAGTGCATTCGTGACGTTTGGGCTTAAGAAGGTGTGGTTGGATTTGACCCAGGGGAAAAGTATGAAGACGAGCTCAGCTAGTAGCTGTGTGATAGTGGAGTTGTTGAGGAATCGACTTTTGCAATCCCTGCTCACACTCACCGGAAAGTATCGATCGTATAGAATCCAAGAGTAACTGCTGGTAACTACGTCGGTGGTGCTGAAAAGATTGCTCACGACTAAGCGAAGCTCTTCCCACGCCTCTCATGCATATTCCAGCACCAGCCCAAGAATGACAACAGTACATTGGGACTGTTGCTCAATATAAGCGTACATTATGTAAAACATAAACAGGAAGTCCCGCCGCACCCGGGAGTATTTTTGAACAGAACGGTTCCATAAAACTTCTAAAGTTATCGAAAATAAAGGTCAAAATTTAGTGTTTCCGTTAGTGTTAGCCTCTTTATATTGCAATACGCAGAAGTAGACAAGTATGTTTAACATTCAGTAGATTTTAAATAATATTAATGATTCGAGATTGGGCTACAAGGTAAACTTCTTAATGTCAACTAGAAAAATGGACTTATACAAATATGTTAAAATTAAAAACAAAACTCTTCAATTTGATTTAATAAATTAAACTTAAAAAAGTAAAGTAAAGTAACAGCCTATACATGTCCCACTGCTGGGCAAAGGCCTCCTCTTTACAGAGGGTATCAGGGCATAGTCCACCACGCTGCCCCACTGCGGATTGGCGGACTTCACATATGTTCGAAATATATTTTTTTTTGTTATTATTTCGAAACTATGCAGGTTTCCTCACGATGTTTTCCTTCACCGCGGAGCACGTGATAAGTCAGCACTTAAAGTTAAAAACTTCATTGGTGCCGGCACCGGGGATCGAACTCGGGTTGCTCGAGTATATTGAATTAAAGGCGAGCGCCCGGACACTGAGCTATCACGGCTCTTAATTAAACTTATATTTGTAAAAATTGTAAATTAAACTTATATTATTTGTAACACAAAGCTGAGGCAACTTTATGCATATTATTTTTATAATAAAGTGCTATCGAATATATTTATTTAAGTACAAACAATATTCAAAAACAGTGTCCTGGGAGTTTTTTCATTTAGTTTGATCTTGACAGTGACTTTCACACAATTTTATCTACATAAAAACGGCTTTTTGCTAAATGAAAAGAACTGAAAACGTTTCAGTTAAGCTATTTAAACAATAATACAAAAAAATCGTTAAAAAATCTATGTAACATAAATACATTGAACAAGTTGACTATGTCCTGATGCCATTTGCCCAGCGGTGGGTCTTGATAGGCCAGAACTTTACTTTTAAATTGAACTGAATAAAATTAAACTTTCATTAAATTAATACTGTAAATGTCAAACGCAACATAATTATACGTGAATAAAAAATTCGCTCAGAGATTGCCACCAAAGAATTTTAAAAGGTCATATTGACGGAAATATATGTTATATTTTGTTTGAGAATTAAATATTAATTGCCAATCATTTGTTGTCCATTCTACTGTGCCCGGACATACGTAAAAAGTTTGTTGTCTCTACCTGTGACTTCGTAGTTTTTACAAGAATGGACCGACTATTATGATGCGATTATTTTTTAAGTAAAACTTCTTTATGCGTGATCTATGGCGACGAAAATGCGTTACGGCGATAACGCGTTTATATTTCGTCAATCCGATTTTTAAATATTGACGCTATTTTTTTGTGACATAATGGCAAACGAGCTGGAGGTACACCTATAGACATTTGCAACACCCATTTTTTAATTTAAAAAAAAATTTTTACTTGTTTTTTAATTTATAATAAAAAGCTCGACTGGTGTTTAAAGCCAGAAATTATTATATAGGGAACTTCATGATTTTGGGGTTTACATGCCATGCGTACTTGCTGCTTTAATGTAGGGGCGCCGATGAGATGCTTGCCTATAACGCTCTCAGTGTTTAATTCGCCTCTGGTCTCATCCAATATACGTAACGGAACACCAAGACAATCATAATCTATGGTAAATATCTATGATGACTTTTGACGTTACAGTGTTAACTGAATCCTGACGGAATCAGGACTATTTGACAATGACTCGGGACTTTTTGACAATCGACATTTAGGTAATGAGCGGCGATCGGGAAACATTCTATCTTTTCTAAATTAGCTAGCTTATTGTAGAAATTAATAATGGCTTTCTTTGAGCGTAATTGTGTAGACTAGTCGGTCAGCATTAAGCTAAATAGCTGTCTGTAATGACTATGCTGTTAATAAAATTAATATATGTGTCGTGTATTTGCTACCTTCGTTAAAAAATGCATGCACGTTTTTATTCCTACAAAAAGTAAATAGGTCGTTCATGGGGCAAGGTGTATGCGCATGTATAATAAAATCCCAAAGTCGATATTAAGTCTGCGGCTTGATCAATTTAAACGTAAAATCAAAAGTCAACTTATGGTTAAAACATATTACACTACTGCGGAATATCTCGACGACGCCAATGTGTGGAGTTAATACTGTTGATACTCACGAAGAATAAGACTATTATACCGGTATTTTAGATTGTAAACTGATATTTTTGAAATAGAGCAACTGTTGAGTTTTTTGCCGGTCTCTTCTCAACAGAAACTGCTTTCCGAACCGATGGCACCTTACGAACCCATATGTATAATTTTTTATGTAAAATTGACGATTCATAAGAACGCGCAAGCGTCTATTTGAATAAAGATGTTTGATTGATTGATTGATTCGATTTAATAGCTTTAAACAACTATAAAATCGAATCAATCAATTCAAATCTTTCGGTTTAAACGCGGCCTTAACAATAAAAAAATATAAAACTATAAAGTTAAAATATTGTTATGTGTAACACACACATCATTACATTAGAAGAAAGCTAAGAGACTTACAATGACAGACAATGACGATCAACGTCATTGATACTTCATTCTGCCAGCCTGCCACAGAGATCGTTTAGTCGAGAAAGAAGCAACTAATATTGCATCGAAGACCTCTAAGTAGACAATATTTTTTTGCCACTCATTGTAATAAAATAAATTCGGCGCTAGATTATATCGATTTGAAGAGAAAACTTGTATTATACGTGACATAATGATCAAATGATAAATTTCATATAATGATATATTTCTTTATATAATTGTGTTAAAACTATAACTATAAAAACTAATGTAAATAAAATGTTAAAATAAAGTAATATAACAAACTATATAAATTTGTCCCACAGCTGGGCAAATGCCTTCTCTCTACAGAGGGTATTAGGGCGTATTCCATCACGGGATCTCAATGCGGATTTACATCTTTATTTTTATCTTAGGAACATTTTTATTTTTGTTACTATGTATTAATTATTGATATGTTTTTTTAATATATTTGCTTTTGTTGTTTCATCGAAAATATACAAGTTAACTCAAGATACCGCTCAGCATCACCGCTGAGCATTGGTGCCGGCAGCAGGATTTGAACTCGGTAAACTAAATTCCAAAAAACTAACTAAAAATAAAATATAAAATAGTAAAAGTAAAGTATGAAATAATCAGCAAGTTACGAAGCAGGCTATGCTCGGTATTTCTCTGCGTGATAGAGTTCGCAACGAAGAAATACGCAGTAGAAAAAAGGTAACCGACATAGCTTAGAAGGTTAGTAAGCTGAAGTGGCGATGGTCGGCCATAAAACTCGTAGAACCGATAACCGTTGGGCAAGAAAGTTTCTCGAGTGGCAGCCTCGTACTGGCCATCGCAGAGTCGGACGACCCTCTCTAGATGGAGTGACGACATGTGCAAGCGTGCGGGAAGTCGATGGATGCAGGTGCCTTCGGATCGTGCTTCGTGGCAGTTTGTGGGGAAGGTCAGCAGTGGACTCAAAATGATGTTGATGATGATGATGAAATTAAATTATAAGCAAGGCCGTGTGTCCCGAATGAGCTATCACGGCTTTTGAGTAAAGGGGTATCATAGTACCTTTGTCATTATTTAAGGATAAATCTGCACAATTCGAATGTATTATTGACGTTTTCCTGCTCAATGGGCACTAACCACAACCACATTGGGTTTTAACTTGTTACCAGAAACTATACTTTTTTCCCAAAGAGATCAACATTATCTACTAACATGGATTTGTTCAGTTCTCTGAAAATTAAAGGCGGAAACGAAAATAAGCATGTACTGGAATTCATATAGTGCACAGTTATGGACTCTACTAGAGACGTCAATTATTAGTTAACGTAAATTCAATTAGTTAATTTACAAAGACTTAAATATATGTTAAAAAGCAATTTGATTAGTAACTAAATTAAATTAATTAGTTTTGATGATACCATTTCGATGACTTCACTTAACTTCAATAGGACTTGACTTTATTATAAGAACTGACTCCCGTAGAGCTTGAAGAAATATAAAAGATTTCTTTAGAAAAAAATACGTATGTACAGAAAACACGGATTCATCTGATAGAATGTAAATTTACAAAATAACTTCTTATCTATTTTGGAACTTCATATTTGGTACGTCGAAGAAAATACCAGTCACTTTCTCATAATTAGTTTGTTTGAAAAATATTTTTTTTTAATTATGGATTTTGTTTAACGTTAATATTTTTTTATGATTATTGGCAAGTAGCGTTAGACGTGTGTTCATTTATTGTCGCGATGGTAACGACACGCTGTATATAATTCTACTGTATGTGTCTATGTAATTGAATTACTCCTAAGCG